GAATAGGGAGGTGGTAGCTAGTGCGCCACAACCAGGCAGGGGCGCCCCCCCACCCCGCGCCCGCTCCCCTGCTCCCCTGCTCCCCGTGAGCCCTGAGTCCCTGCACCGCAAGGAGGCCAAGACGCTGGTCTGCAGTAGTGGCCTCATTTGCTCTCAGTTAGCAGCTCGGCCAGCGATTCTGCCCTGATGTCAGCTTCTCTGTCTCCCAGGGCTGGTCTTGAAATTAACAAACTTCACAGTGTTTGTGCCCCGAAGTTCCCACCGTCACTAGAGAACCCTACCTCCCCCCACCCCGCCCCGCCTGTTATTATTTTTAAGAACAAAATACTTTTCTATGGGGCTTCAACATATGGGAAGCCTTGTTGGAGAAGCAAACGGTTGTTGAATGTTTGGGTTTTCCCCTCAGGAATTTGTCTCCCACATTTCAAGAATAGAAAACCTTTCCGGCGGAAGGGAGGGCAGCTACGCTGTTTTTTTGACTAAGTGGGAATTCCGGCACATGTGACCCATGGTCCGATGCTGTTTTTGTTTGCTGGGCGGTCACATATGGAACGCGATGCTCCTTAAGACAGTTAGTACTTACCTTCCCCAGACTATAGTCCCTTCTCAGTGATGCTGTTATCTTAGAACAGATACAACGGAAATGGCTCACTGGTAAGGGGTCTGAGCGCTTCTGAGCATCTGCTCTGCTAGTTACCCAAGCCTCCTCAGCGGGGATTAATCTATTACTTGCTTTTTACACCCTTGCTCTAGAGAGAATGGTAGTAACTTTCTTTAAGCCTAGAAGGTGGAGTCTCATGGCCGACATCACTGAAGTTTCTGAGGTTTCTTCAGATCAAGTCGTGTTGCTTTTATAATTAAAAAAAAAAAAAAAAAAGGAAAAAGTCATTCAGTCAAATGAATATTTATTGAGAGGATTATATTTGCATACTGAATGGCTCTTCAGGGATTAAAAACAAAAACTAGTATTAGGCCATTTGTTTTCATCAGCAGCAATGAATACAAAAGACCTGGCATTCCAGTCCTGCCCATTTCATATAAAATCACAGGAACCCTGTGAACTACTGAAGGGGCCTCTGAAAGCTGGCAAAGCTGTGTTTTTATCCATTCAACTAAAGCAGAACTTGCATTTCCCCTGTGAAAAGAAGTAAACAGTATGGGAATTCCCAGACTGGTCTAAGCATTTTCAAATCCCAGGGTAACAAGCAGATTCATCTAGTCCATGACATATCATGTGATGGGAGTAATCATTATATTGAATATAGTGATGAGCAATGTTATTATTTGACCTTTTAAAAAGCTTTTATTTATTTCTAAATGTAATAACATGTTTACAAGTGTACAAAGGGATATCCAGTAAAAATTCTCCCTCCTACTCCAGACGCCCAACCTCCCTGGTCCCCTTCCTGGAAGCAACCACTATTATCAGTTTCTTGTTTATTGTTTCAGAGATATTTTTAAGCTTGCACAAGGAAATATGTAAATTCATTCTTGTTTCCTTCCTTTTTTTCCCCCCAACAAATGGTAACATACTAGAGCTGCTGTTATTTTTCACTTGATTTATTTTGGAGATTGTTTCCTATCAGAACATAAAGCGTGTGCTTAGTTTTTCAGGACTGCAATCTAGTCCATTGTATGGATGTACCATAACATTTAACCACTGTCCCCTCGATGGCCATTTGCATTGTTTCCAATCTTATGCTGTTAAAAATAATGCTGTAATTAAAAAAATATTGTACAGACATAATTTCACTGGTAAACACTTTTTAAATAAGAGAAGTATGGAGGTTTTGGCTAATTCTCTCATTCTCATATTTGTACTATATGTTCTATGACCCAGGCATAGAGAATGCTTCCATCTTTAGCAAGTAGTTCAGATATATCAATAAAGTAAACTTATTGCCCTTTCGTAGATGGCAAAATATTTCAAAGATACCTTCACTGTGAACTCCTACTTAATAAGGAATCTTTTTTATGCAAATGTACTTATTCTTTTAGATATCAACCCTTGAATGTATCCTGCTTATTATATAAAGTGAGAGATTCTTGAGGTTCCTAAGAATTGTCCTGGAAAGAAAATTGATTTTGAAATGAGCTTAGCAGTATCTTAATTTCACTGAGAAATCTCATAAAACTTGACACTTTCACAAACTTTGGACGTTAGATAAATTGAATTTGAGGCTGACATTATTCTCCAAATGGAATGGGACTGGTTGATCGCCAAGATATGGGTGGTACAGGTCAGGAATATTATCATTCTGCAGTTGAAACAGGATTTTATTTATGTGTGTTGAATCTCTGCTAATTTAAAATGTCTCAACATTTCCTGCATTTTAGTAGAAAGTGAACAGCAAGTTACTTTTTTAACTATTTAAATATTTTAAATAAAATTAAAACCAAGAAGCTGTTTACAATTTCATTGTCCAAATGTATTCAGCGATCCGGAATATTTTCATCCGTTTTCTTAGTAAACATGAATACTGTATTTGTACTCTGGCTTTCATCCTGTTATAATGCATTTTAATTAAAAGTATTTAGACAAATGTTCCTGGCTAGTGGATTAATTTCAGAAACTGACCAAGTATGACAGACACTTTTGTGAGAAAAATTAAGTTTATTTTCTGGCTCAGCCTCCCTGACTGATCTCCTATTGACATGCTTGGGGCTATAATCTATCCTGCATTTCTGTTGCTGGAGTGATATCCCTTATCAAACCATCCCTAGGAGTCTAAGTCCCTCAAAAACAGCCCTTTTATGTCTGGTCTTACCAAGCCCACAGCTTACAGTTTCCTCAATCTCATTAGACTTGTTCTAATGCTGCCAGTTCAGAGTGCTGACATACACGAACCCTGGATTCAGACTGCCTAGCTTCCAACCCCAGCTTGACCATGTACCATGGATAACCATGACCTCTTTGAGCCTCAGTGACCTCATGGAGATAATACGTTGCACCGTACAGGGCCACTGAGATGATCAAATAATAGACTGGCACGGCCAACTCTGAATGGGCACGAGAAATAAAGCCGATGTGCCATCCCGCTTAGTCTGCCTGGGATAGAGTAGAAGGCCCCTCAGAACTCTGTCTTCTCTGAATTCTGCCTCTGCCTGGGGTTATACACAAAGATGGGGTGTGATCACCTCTTTTGCTGCTCTTTAACTAATAGTTTGTATAAAAGCCTGGACATATGTGAATTATAAGAATATAAATCACTACTTTCCCCACCATTCATGAATGTCTTTAATCCAATTTCAAACAAAAACAGACCCTGAAATACCCACCCAAGGCTGACTCTCCTGGCTCCATTCTGAGCCAGGCCAGGGCCTTCATGGGTGTGTGACCCGTGCAGTCACACATGGCCCCATGCTAGTCACCATCTTTATTTATTTATTTTAAAATAAATTTATTTGTTTATTTTAATTGATTTGTTTTTGGCTGTGTTGGGTCTTCACTGCTGCGCATGGGCTTTCGCTAGTTGTGGCGAGTGGGGGCTACTCTTCGTTACAGTGCGCAGGCTTCTCGTTGTGGTGGCTTCTCTTGTTGTGGAACACAGGTTCTAGGCACCCGGGCTTCAGTAGTTGTGGCACGTGGGCTCAGTAGTTGTGGCTCATGGGTTCTAGAGCACAGGCTCAGTAGTTGTGGCACACAGGCTTAGTTGCTCTGCGGCATGTGGGATCTTCCTGGACCAGGGCTTGAATCCATGTCCCCTGCATTGGCAGGCAGACTCTCAACCACTGCGCCACCAGGGAAGTCCCACCATCTTTAAATTCATAATAATTTGTGAACAGGGGTCTCACATTTTTATTGGCACTGGGCCCCACAAATTATGTAGCCTGTCTTGCTATCTGAAAAGGTCAATGGGAGAAGGAGGTAGAGCTGTGTCTCTTTTGCACTCAGCTTCCATCTCCCTTCTTCCAGCCACAGGATCCTGCTTCCTTTCAGAAGATTACCTTTCAATCATATATTGTGACTCAAACACGATGACCCAAGCTAGGCCCATTGATTCTTTCCTGGGAATCTGAATCTTGAGAGCTATTGCCCCATCCTCCTTGCCAGAACCACCCTGATTTAGTTCTGGGCAGCAACATGCCCAGCCCCAGGGGATGAAGCCCTGCTGTAAGCCAATCACTGCTCTTCCCATCCCTTATGCCAGAGACTCTCCCAGACTTCCTTGCCGCTAGGGGTAGCCATGTGACCCAGTCCCAACCAATGAGTATAAAGGGAAGGATGATAGGCGGCTCCTAAATAAAGGAACCCCACCCCCAACTCCATCCTTTGGTCCCTCTTTCTTCCTTGCAATACTGGTGGGGAGAATCTATTGTATTTGGAGCTGGAACAGACCTCTTGTGGCTGAAGAGTCCAAGAATCGGAAGAATCAGAGATGCAGACTGTGATGTGCTGGTGTTGCCAAATCACCCCCCAAATCAGTTATCTCCAGAATTCTCGTTACTTGACATAATGACGTACCTTTGTTATTTAAGTCCTCATCTCCGTTACCTGCAGCTGAAAGCATCCTGATAGAAGAGCAACGGAATGGAGGGGGAAAGAGAGAAAACAGGGTCAGATGCCTCACAGCTTCCGCACACTGACCACACCCATCATTCCTTCCTGTTTCTCAGATTCTTTCTTTTCCCCCCAGTTTAATTCAGAAATAATTGACAACATGACTGTGTAAGTTTAAGGTGTACAGCCTGATGGTTTGATTTACATGTATTGTAAAATCATTACCACAGTAGGTTCAGCTAACATCCGTCTTCTCATATAGATACAATAAAAAAAGAAGAAAAGAAGAAAGGAAAAAAAATGTTTTTCTTGAGATGAAAACTCGTAGGATTTACTGTCTTAACAACTTTCCTGTGTATCATACAGCAGTGTTAGTCACAGTCATCATGCTGTATATTACATCCCTAGTACTTATTTATTTTATAA